TTGTAGAAATGACAGCTGCTCTTGTAGGGAGAAACCTCCAGGTTTTGTCATGTTTATGATACCATGGTAGCGTGGAAATTTTTTTTTTAAAAAAAGAATGCTCATCTTACAGCTGCTCCTAAAATTGTAGGGAATGAGATACATTCTTGAAAATATTCTGCAATACATTTATGTTTCTCTGTTTGGTTATGCATGTGATTTTATAAATATATTGCAGAATGTTTTCAAGAATGTATCTCATGTCAAAAGAGTCAACAGTATTTCAGACAGAACAGAACAACAGAGTTGGAAGGGACTTTGGAGGTCTTCCTGTCCAACCTCTTGCTCAGGCAGGAAACCCTATACCAGGGTTAGGCAACCTTGGCTCTTTTATGACTCGTGGACTTCAACTCCCAGAATTCCTGAGCCAGAATTCTGGGAGTTGAGGTCCACAAGTCATAAAAAATCCAAGGTTGCCTACCCCTGCCCTATACCATTTTAGACAAACGGTTGTCCAATCTCTTCTTAAAAACCTCCAGTGATTAATTGTTCTGTCAGGAAATTCCTCCTTAGTTCTAGGCTGCTTCTCTCCTTGATTAGTTTCTATCCATTGCTTCTTGTCCTGCCTTCAGGTGCTTTGGAGAACAGCTTGACTCCCTCTTGTTTGTGGCAGCCCCTGAGATATTGGAACACTGCTATCATGCCACCCCTCGTCCTTCTTTTCATTAAACTAGACATGCCCAACTCCAGAAACCGTTCTTTATATGTTTTAGCCTCTAGTCCTGTAATCATCTTAGTTGTTCTTCTCTGCATTGTTTCTAGAGTCTCAACATATTGTGGTGACCAAAGGTTTGTTCCTTGTAGCTCTCAGCTAAAACTGAAACTGTCCATATCAGCATTCAGCCTGCAAGGGTCTTTTGAAAAGACACCAAAAATGAATGGTAGATAACCAGGAGATCTCTGTCTATCTCCTCCCAGCTCTAAAGCAGACCAAATAAGCTAGAAAATCCCTAGTTCTGTTCCAAAGCAAAGTAGCAAAAACTTTCTAGTCCGTGACACTCAAACAATGATTGTATTATGAATCTGGAGCATACTAGATGTTCACTGGTTATATGAACTTCAAAGCTCACGTATAATCAAAATAAAATACATGAAGAGAGAGAGAGAATAAAATGACCAGAGCAACAATGAGGATCAATCCTTGCCCACTATAATGAAATAGAGCAAAGTCTTGGAAAAATTCAAATGTTCAACTGTTGAAAAATTCAAATTCTTCTCAAGTTCAAATAATTCAAAAATGATTTGTTGCCATGTTGCATTAACTTGTTCTTCTCTATTTGCGGTTTTCTTGCTGCTTTTCCCCATGCTTTCTCAAACAAGAAAGCAAAAACTATTTGTAACATGATCTGCTTCATTATGGTTTGTTTTTTTTTTTCATTTTGTTCTCCAGTGTTCCTCAAGAATTTTTCAAGGGCAAGAAGGAAAAACTAGTTCCTCTGTAACCAATGTGTCATATGTGAAATGTACCGGTATTCTCTTGCATTTGATAATTGTAAAGTATTATTATCTGTGGCTGTAGAGAAGGGGAAGGAAGGAGAAGAAGAATGCAGGTGTTCCAATTGTCTGTGCATCTTGATGTACCTTCATGTTTCACAGTAAAGAATCCCATACCAGATGGCAAGGTTCATTAAGAATATCAAAGATGGACTGTTCATCATAGCAGCAATAGCCTGTAATGAATAATGTCTCCTAAGGGATTGGGGTGCAAAACAGATCCAGCAAAGCATTCAGATTAGTTAACAGTAAAATATATATTAGAAAACTACGAATCTGTTAGTAACAGAATAACAGAGTTGGAAGGGATATTGAAGGTCTTCTAGTCCAACCCCCTGCTCAAACAGGAAACCCTATACCATTTCAGACAAATGGTTGTCCAATCTCTTCTTTAAAACTTCCAGTGTTGGAACACCCACAACTTCTGGAGGCAAGTTGTTCCACTGATTAGTTGTTCTAATTGTCAGGAGATTTCTTCTAAATTCTGGATTGGTTCTCTCTTTGTTTAGTCCATTGCTTCTTGCCTGCCTTCAGGTGCTTAGCAAGATGTTTGTATATCTAACCCATCTTGGACCTTGCAACGGGATAAATACTATCCTCAAGTGAGGTCTGGCATTCAGCTTTTCAGAATTAAAAAATGATTAGGCTGAATTAAGTTGTTTTTACTTTGTAAAAACTATTCGAGAAACCTTCTTCATTTATGTGAATGGTAGAAGGAGAGTTCCATTTTAAATTGGCTCCTCTTAAACAGTATTTTCCAAAGTGCCTGATGACAGGACAAGAAGCAAAGGGTGGAAACTAACCAAGGAGAGAAGCAACCTAGAACTAAGGAGAAACTTCCTGACACTTAGAACAATTAACCAGTGGAACAACCTGCTTCCAGAAGCGGTGAATGCGCCAACACTGGAAGTTTTTAAGAAGAGACTGGACAGCCATTTGTCAGAAATGTATAGGGTTTCCTGCCTGAGCAGGCAATTGGACTAGATGACCTCCAAGGTCCCCTCCAACTTTATTATTATTATTATTATTATTATTATTATTATTATTATTATTATTATTATTATTATTATTACTATAGTATTTGCTTTTGAAATGTCCAGGTGCTCCTGGTATTCAAGGAGATGGTATTTAGAATGGAAGCACTGAAAATCATTGGTTTCTATATCATTTATGGGTTTAAAAAAGATGGAGAAGGAAGAAGAAGAGCAACATGAGATAGCAGCTAAAGATGCTTTGGTCACCTATAAAAATCATAAATTAGCCCCTTGGACTAATCTCACCATTTCCTTTATGATCACCATTTTGAAAAGCATCATTGCATAAAGAATTGGACTAGGATAGGTATCTACATGTGCCAAGTGAGTGGTTACATTTTCTGCTCAGAAATAATTTCAAGGCTGAGATTTCTAGAAATATTTTTAATCTCAACCAGAGAAATGAGCAGATTCTAGGACAGGGGTGTCAAACTGCCAGCCCGCGGGCCGGACGCCTCATCCCAAAACTGCGCCCACCCCATTGCCGGCAATGGAGAAAAAGCTCCGATATGTCGCGCGATGTCACGTGATGTCGCGAGTTTGACATGCCTGTTCTAGGAGGAAGTACAATTTTAGATTCTGCATGGCTACAGGTTTTATTTTTATTTTAAACTTTTAAACTGCTGACCATACTTAAAATGTTTAATAGTGTTTTTCGGCAAGCAGATCCATCAATGTACTGATCACTCTTAAGTATGATGGAGAAAAAGACGTCAACACAAATGATGTCAAATACATCATCATCACCATCACCACCACCACCAATCCCTCCATCTCTTTCAGACATTGGCCAAGAAAATTCAAAATAAAATGAAATGAATGAATGAAACTTAAAATTAAAAATCCCAATGCTCCTATACTAATCTTCACCCTTTGAGAATTAAAGAGCTCTCAAAGGGATCATGCATAGCCTCCGTTCTGGTGGTGGAATTGCCAGATAGACTGGAGAGACGTGCTAAGAGGAGGCTGAACTTGGAGTCCTCGTACTGCAGAAAGTGGCACAGGTCTTTCCTCCCCCAGAACCCCTGAAGCCCTATCTGTCCACTCCCAAGAGTATACGGTCAATGTGGTGAGATTCTTGTATTATAGGTGACTGACAATAAAGCTTCTGCTTGAGATTATTCATGAGTGGTTCTAGTTGCTTGTGCCTGATGATTCTACATACAGGTGGTCCTCAACGTACGACAATTGAGCTCAAAATTTCTGTTGGTGAGACAGTTGTTGAGTGAGTTTTGCCCCATTTTATGACCTTTCTTGCCATAATTGTTAAGTGAATCACTTCAGTTGTTAAGTTAGTAGCATGGTTGTTAGGGACTCTGGCTCCCCTATTGACTTTGCTTGTCAGAAGGTTGCAAAAGGTGATCACGTGACCCCATGACACTACAACTGACATAAATATGAGTCAGTTGCCAAGCATCTGAATTTTGATCACATGACCACGGGGATGTTGCAATGGTCAAAAGTGTGAAAAACGTGGATAAGTCACTTTTGCAGTGCTGTTGTAACTTTGAATGGTCACTAAATAAACTACTGTAAATCGAGGACTACCTGTATACAGTACAAGTGGTCTACACTTATATTGCATCAACACCCTAATCCTAACTTTAACTGTACTCCAGAGTTATGTATGGGCATATACAGTTTTATTTTCCAAAGACGTGGTATTCTCTCAACATCAACACATTGACTGAGTTACTTTGCTTAACAGTAAGATCAACCTTGACAATTCCAAAAGAAAGGCACTTGCAATTTTAGAGTTCAAAAATCACATCACATATTCAAAGGACTCTGAGTCAAAGTGATTTCATGTTTGAGAATTACAAAGAGACCCAGAAACTAATTATCTCATTTTGAACTTCATTAGAATAACCACCACAGCTGAATAGAGGAAGAAACCAGTCATGTGTTTTTTTTTTTAAAAAGTCACATTTGAATTCCAACATTCTCTTCTATTTTGAATGTGTACAAATGTCATTTCACCAGTTTTGCTGTCCCAGTATCACCTTGCATAAACATTCTCTTCCATTCTGAATGTGTACAAATGTCATTTCACCAGTTTTGCTGTCCCAGTATCACCTTGCATAAACATGCCAGGGCACGCAAATACCGTGCTCTTACTTTATAAAATTCCCAGACTTTGCACTGCATGGCAAGAAACTATAAGAAACAGAAAACACAACAAGCTCTCCCTTATGATGCCACATACTTTCAGACTAAGTAGCATATCAAGCTGGAGCCCATAGCTGAGTTGGCAACTAGAGAGAATCTGTTAGAAATAAAAACTTGCAAAATTGGGAAGAATTCTCCGTTGGACTTCTGCCTTCCCTAAATCAGTTGTACCAAGAGATGCTGCAGCACATTCCACATCAACCCACTGCCCATGGCTATGTTGGCTGGAAGAGATTGAAATTGTGGTACTCCAGTTTAGAGATCCAAGGTTAAAAAAAAAAAAAAAATAGCTTCCACACCCCAAGCTCTCTGTCTTCTTTCCCATGCACTCCCTTTGTACTTACCAAAGGTTTGGCTTCATCTTCATCTTTGAAATAATATAGCTGCTCTCCTTTGAGTACAAACCAACGAGTGTGCCAAGTCTTCACAAAACCTCCTTGCTTCCTCAGCCACCCACACTTAATGGCAGTGTGCCTTCCTGGGCTCAGCAGGGGGCTTTCTGCAGAGCCGTTGTGTTCTTCCATAATGAAGTCAGCAGCCTCTCCTGGTTAGAGAAGAACAAGTGGGAAAGGAGTGGTATGAGTTCAACTTCCAAAGAGTAGGCCCATCACTTTTGATTGGAATAGAAAAACAGCAAACAATGCTTGAATTATTCAATTATGAATTGCTTACACTGAAAAAAATTCATTACAAGGGCAGTTTTGCCATGTTCAGATATTGTTTCCCCCAGGTAGTGCTTCACTTCTTTTTTTTTTTTTTCTTCCTAGCATTTTCTCACAAGTGCTTTTTCAGATCAATTGGTTCTGACAGGAATTTACTAACTGAGTTGTTGCCTCAGACTGACAGTTGTGGGCTAACAGAGAGTAACTTACCAAAGTCACACGACCAGCTTTCATGCCTAAGGCAAGACTATGACACACAATCTGCAAACATCAGGGGAAGAAGAAGCATCAGAATCCAAGAAACCTCTTCATGTAATTATAACAGAATTTGAAGAAGGAACTTCAACTTTTAGGGTTCTGTATTCCAATAAAGCAGTTTTCAGGCAAAGAAAATGGAGGACATATTTTTGCTATAGGACAGCGTATAAGCCCACTCAGACTAGAGCAGTGGTTCTCAACCTTTTTAATGCCGCGACCCCCAACCGGTCGTAAGTTGAGGACTACTCAGCCGGTCATAAGTCAAGGACTACTCAACTGATGCAGCACCGTTTGCAGAATGGGACTTTTGGCGGGCTCAGCAGGGCAGAGACAGCCTGGACAATTCCTATTGGCTTTTGAAAGCCAATAGAATTAGATTCTATTCAAGAGAGTCTATTCTATCGGCTTTCAAAAGCCAATAGAATAAAAGGGAGTAGCACAGCTAAGGAAAAGGGGAAAAAAGGGTGGACTGCGTTGTTTGGCGACCCCCGTGAAATGGTCGTTCAACCACAAATGGGGTCCCGACCCACAGGTTGAGAACCACTGGACTAGAGGGTCTGGGGAACCAAAAGAAGGCTGGCTATCAATATGGACCAGTATCTTATCCTGAGCCTCTAATGAACAGATCTCATGATCTATGATAATAAAGATTTGATTTGATCTCATCCACATACTTGCTACTTCATGTTTAGGAAATGGTTCAACTATTCAAGATTTGAAATATCTGCTGCTATTGCTTTCACTCTGTCTACTGCTCTGGATCTTGACAATACAGAATTGACTACACAATTTTTTCTGATATTCTTAATGGATTAGAACAGGAGGTTAAAGGCTCCAGGACCCCATATGTTCCTCTAAAAAAATACAGTTCCCAGAATTGCCTATGGAGATTCTTAGTCATCCAAGTCATGGTTGACTAAGATCATGGTTCAAGAGGCAACTGGAATTTTTTTTGTTTTTCCTTGAAGAGGTTGCCCTTCTCATCCAAGAAGCTTTTTCAGTTCAGAACTGAAGAAGCTTCTTGGATGAAAAGCGAAATGTCTTCAAGGAAAAACAAAGTCCAGTTGTCTTTTGAAAAAGCACCTTTGGGACAGTTCCCAGAGTCCATACATATGTGCCACAATGTGAGTAGTGATTTTTAATCCAAGGGGAGAATTATTTAAAATGTAAACAGCAGGAATCATAGAGCCTACTTTTAATTAATAGGGTTAAGATTAAATCAAATTTAGTGCTATATTTGGCATTTATTTATACTGATATTCCCGTTCTGGGGAGTCCAGCTTCCAATATTTCATTTTATTTATTAAATTTTTATGCTGCCCATCTCCCTTATAAGGTGACTCTCAAACATGCAACCCAAACAAAGGTCAGGTACAGCATTCAAACTGCAAAATGTTGTAGATCCATTAATTATAGGCATAGGCCTGGAAGGCCTTAACAGGGATGGCATAATTGACATTGATTTCATTGATTGAAAAAGGGTTGTATGAACAGAAATAAGAATCATTGCTTTGAGGATATCTGATCAAGGCATGTTTTTGTTAATTACAGTATGGAAAAGGAATCAGGTCTACCTTCAGTTGTATTGTGAAACAGATGGCTAAAATGTTTATTTCAAAACATTTGGCTTTTTCTCTCATCAACAACTGTGGTCTTTATGATCCAGCATGGACTGTCTGACTTTCACTGGCAGCATGATCATCCACCCCCACACATGGTTTCATGGTTGCATTCATTTTTAGCAAGCATCTGTGAGAAGCATCAGATGTAGAAATCTTTAAATTATGAAAAGCTGGACTAAATTAAGGGACTGAAGGTGGAAATGAAAGCCAAAAGAATTTACATGAGAAGCCCTTGTGTGTGCAAAGGTCTTTCATCAAAATTCTTTGGAGGAAGATGGCTGGTTAAGAAGTACAAAATATAAACAAACATATTCAGATATGGGATAAATTCCCTTGATTGCTGCAGACTATCACTGTCACCTTAGAAGGACACCTGACTTATTGATGCTTCAGATTCTGAACTAATTATGTGATTTTTAATTTGTTGGCACAAAGCTAAAAAGAAACCAGGATACAGAAAGCCACTGAGAAACTCAGTGAAAAAGAAACTTAAAAAGTTGGAAATTACAAAAAAAAAATCTGCATGAATAACATGCAATTTAAACCACGAACTTTACCTTTTTCTAAGAAAGTAATGACAGAAATACAGAAGATGGCTTCTTTGCACAAATAAAGATTATGACTATTGCAAATCAGTGAATTGATTTTTTTTAAAAAATGTAAAAAGCACAGTTGACAAATCACAAGCATTTTTCTTTAAATTAAGGTTCTTAAAGATACAAAGGTGTAATCAAATCTTGAATATATTTAAAAGAAAGTAAAAAAGATGGTTAATAGGGCAACAAAATGCATTCAAAATGGACCAGTGGTCTCAGCATAGCTGCTTCACAACTGTTTGCATATGTGTGTGCATGTACAAAGTAAAGTAGTTTCTATACTTCAAACATGTGAATGAATATCTGTCATGGGGGGGGAAACATATTTTTTTCTGATTGGCTAAAGATAAAAAACGCATCTAATTAACTGAAGTTAGAAAAAGGTTTCCGTTGAACATTAGCAGGAGCTTATAAATAGTAAATGCATTAGCCAGATTCTGCCTCTATCTCATCCTCTTCTAGAAAGAAAATTTTCCTTAGAGATTAATGATAGGATACTGGTTGGCCATTTATTGTAAAGTGCTAGTTTTTGATTTCATGCAGCTTAGATTAGCTGGCTTATAAAGCCCCTTCCAGCTATATTTTATCATTGTTTCATTGCTGCTTGTTTTTGTTGTTCTATACCACCCAGAGTCCTTCAGGATTTGGATGTGTTTTAAGTACTGTTAATAAACCAGCAAACATTATTTGCAGTCACAAGAGACAGCTTTCCAAGCAACATAAATCACTAGTTCATAGTATTTCTTCTACAAAAAAAGTTAATCTATATTAGTCTTATCCAACATGGCACTCTCCAAATAGTGGTTGGGAAATTGCAGTGACAACATGTTTGGAATGTGTTAGGTTCAGAGTATTAATGTAGACTGCTTAAAAGTATAAAATAATAAAGTGTCTTTCAAGTCTAGCTTGACTTCTGACGATTTGGCAGACAGATCCATATGATTTTCTTGGAAATGATATGGAAGTGGCTTGCCATTGCTTTCTCCCATATTTTTTTGACTTCTAGATTTCTAGTGTAACTGGAGTATAGAGAGCTCAATGTCAGGCACAATAAACCAGAATCCAGGAAGGAGTTCTAAAGCCCTGCAATTTTATCCCATACTACCTATAACACAAGAATCTGATCTACTAAGGGTCAATGCAAATTGGCACTTGATAAGAATCAAGGGACTTCAAGGGTTGGACCTAGGTCTCTTTAGAGAGTGTAAGGACCCCAGACCAATGAGGTGCTTGACCCACTCTCAGGTTCACCCTGGTCATCTCCTACAGTAAAGGTCTCTTATGCAATAATATATCAGAATTTTCCGATGAAATGTTGAATGTAATAATGCATATTCCAAGCTTTCATGAAATTTCAGAGCTAGTTTTCAAATTCTATCTATCTCTGTGTCCATAACTGTGTAATCAGTACAAATCACTGTCCAAATCTGGGTTGGCTACAAATACTGCTACTAAGGAAACATAAATACAATCAATTAGGGTTAATCCTTGTCCTAAAAACATGACACCTAGATCAGTTTAAACTGGTTGGCCTTTCCTGTCCTGGCTCAAGCATAGAAACCTATAATACAGTTAAAGCCATGGCAGTTCACAGAAGCTCTCAAGATAAATGGCAAACGTGAGGACACATGGCAACATACATCAAAGAACAATTCTGGCTATCCTGGTAACTGAACTATTCCTTATTAACCATTAGCAGGTAACTTGAAATTACAACATATCAAGTTATCTACTTTTCTAGCAACATTAGCTCTGCTAATTTTATTACCTTAAATTACTATTTAATTTCCTATAATTTCATTTATTACAATCCACATTGCAATAGTATTTGATTTATGTTGGGCTTCATGCCTTATTTATTTGGTATCATGATTACTATTTGCTCTTTGTTTATATAGCTGGCCAACTTACACACCAACTCCAGGTGGGGTACAACATTAACAATCCATAGTTAGAAATTCACAGTCTAGCCCTACCCCACCACCCAGCCCCATGGCAGTCACAACAGAATCAGACAAACCATGATATTGGCTCTGGATGGGGTCCCCAAGCCCCCTGACAAAATCATGTCTTCAAGGCCTTGTGGAAAAGCAATGAGTTGGAGGTCAATCTTATCTTTAAGGGAATATAGCAGTGGTGGTGAACCTATGGCACGGGTGCCAGAGGCGGCACTCGGAGCCCTCTCTGTGGGCCACGTGACGTTGCCCCAGCCTTGCCTCCCCCTGCGACAAAGGGAATACAAAGGGAAGGAGCCACCATTGAGAAGGCCCTTCTCCTAGGCCCTAAAATATATACTTCCTTGATAGTTGGATCTACAGCATACTTTGCCTTTCTGCTTTGGTGAACCAGATAGATATATTGTTGTTATTGTGCTAATATTGGGAACAAAACATTTCAAAACATTCT